TGCCTTGATTAAATTTTACAATAAAACTTTAATAAACAAATCGAAAACTAAATTTATTTTTAATATGTATAATAATTCATATTTCAGCGCAAGCCATGATTATCGGTTCTCGTCATTATATCACTTTTGATGGACGTTACTTTGATTTTGCCGGAAATTGTACCTATTTGTTAGCGAAGGATTTTGCACACAATACTTTTGCGATTCTGGTGAAATATAATATACAAGCAGAAGAAATCACTCACCAGATCATAGTATTGATCGGAAACAGCGCTATCGAATTGGATCTCTTCAACGATGTTAGTAAAACTTATTATTATCTTATAATAAGAATCAAATCAAAATTTCAATCAATTTCATCTAGGGAGTAAGAAATATTTAATATTATATAATTATATTTTCATTATAATTATAAAATAAATTATTTTTAATTATACGGAATAAATTTAACTAATATCTTAATATCAAACGCAATGTTTGTACAACCTCTAATTTCCGCAATTTTTGAGATATCGGGTTTAATTCTTTTACATGAATAGAGTATTAAAGGATGGTTGGTATTGAATTTAGTGAGGATCAGTGAAAGAATACATTTTTTATAAATTTTAAATTTTTTGAGAAATGTCTGTACACGTCCTAACTTTTGCAAATTTTGATATATCTTCCTCTATGAGGAAGCCAAAATTAAAAAACTCGCTTGCTTTAAGGAGCTTAAGCTAATTATAAAATAAATTATTTTTAATTATACGGAATAAATTTAACTAATATCTTAATATCAAATACGATATATTATTCAGACAATGAAGCTGATCTCCCAATCATCCGGCACTACAATGAATCTGCAGCTGCCGATCGAGTTGGACCATGGCACGACGTACGTTTACCAAGTGGAGAACATGGTAACGGTGGAACGCAAGCACAACCAATTCCGGCTGGAATGTAATCTCAAGTTTAATTTGTGTACCTTGGAACTGTCAGGCTGGTATTACGGAAAGACGGCCGGTCTTTTCGGCACGATGAACAACGAACAATTCGACGACACTCTGGGATCGAACAAGCTGTTTTTAAAGGACACCGGCAGTTTTGCTCACAGCTGGTCTATTGATGAGGAATGCACTGACACGACGAATCATGCTAACAAGATCCTACATCAAGACAGCATAATATCTGAGTTCTGCGACGATCTGTTTGTGAACAAGAGCTCGGAGTTCGGTATCTGTTTTGGCGTGATCGATCCGGCTGTGTACGCTAGGATGTGCTTGAACAGTCTCACCGAAGCTGAGGCATGCACGGTGGCGATGTCGTACATGCAGATATGCATGTTCCGCGACACTTATCTGAGAATACCCGATAAGTGCACCTCATGCACTATGATGGACGGTAGTCAGGTGGCCGAAGGCCGTTTCAAACGGCTGGAGGAGGACAAAGTGCCCCGATCGGCCGACGTGGTGTTTATCGTCGAGGCAAAGAACTGCAATCGCGATATGAAGTTGAATAGCAGCATGGAGTTGTTAATTACACAGCTCGACAAGGAGATGAATGACCGAGGTCTCACGGAAAATCGATGGTCCCTGGTGATCTTCGGCGGTGACAAAGTGCACGATCGACCCAGGAGCATCATTCTCGACGGACAAATCTTCACGAAGAACGTAGCACGTTTTATCGATTATTTAAGCTACGTGCCAGTAGGCAGCGGCAGTCAAGACATTTTCGCCGCGATTGGATTCGCTTCGCGGCTCGTCTTCAGGGCCGGCGTGTCGAAGACTTTCATATTGATGCCATGCTCGCATTGCGAGCCGGAGAATCAAACGGTAAGTTCTATCCTTAAGATGTATTTCATGAAATTTGATAATTTTCTTGAGTTCTATAATCTAATTCATCTTTCAACATTTTGCTTTAGTTGGAGTACTCGGTATTACACCAAGTATTGTTGGAACACGATATCACTCTGCACATACTAATGGATGGCGATTTCCAATTCGAGAAGGAGAAGATCGGTAAAATCTTCTACGGCTTGGACGCGACCAAGTCGTACACCAAGAAGGACGCTCGAGTACTAACCGGCGACAAAGATCTGCGAAGACAGGTCAAACTTTCCAAGAACGTGCTAGGCTACTGCACACCGCTGTCCTTGGAGACAAACGGCACGATATTCAGCGGCGACAAACTGCGTCTCGAGAAGTCGGCTTTAATTAAAAAATTCGCGAGCGTTTTCGCGAAGAGAGTCGCCCTTACAGCCGAGCCAAACAAGTGCCAATTGTGCGAATGTACCGCTGATAATAACGGCGTCACGCAAATGGAATGCATGCCGTGTATATACCCAATGCCCGTGCACGTGGATTACGTGAGTGTACGTACACAAAGTTCACAAAAATTTCAAAAACTCAAGAAGTCTTAAGCAACGAAAAATATTTAATAAAGCGTCTGAAAGATTTCAAAGTCTTCTCTAGACATCTTTACAATATCTCGTTCAGGCATTTGTATGTCTAATGAAATTATTTTTCCTTATGTTGCAGGAAACTTTTAATCTCAACGAATCGCTCTCGATGATGCCGCCATTAGATAGTATTGATTATGGCCAAATCGATATAGAGGACGATTGAAGATATAATTAAAATATAGTTAGATGATATTAGATGCTAGATAACTCGCCGGTATTAATCATATTTATTTGCAATATCCTTTGTAATATAGGATAATATGCTTACCTCCCTTCCCAATCCAAAGTTTGTCTTATATTGGAGGCAAAATATAAAAAATATATATATAATATCAAAATCATATATATTTATATATTAATAAAATAATATCACGATATCATTCAAGTATTAATAATTATATTTTTTCAAACAAACTCATGACTATTGTTGGAATATAAATATAATTATATGTAAGGCTTCTGAAGGAGGGGAAGTGTGGTATAATCATTATGTAAAAGCACAAAACACAGGGTCGATATATAAAACTTTCTTGTCTATATATATTATCTGTATATAATGTGTGTCTGAGACTTTTATATATATATAAAAATGTAATGCAAACCGGGAAATGGCAATTGATTCGCGTTACACTCTTTGTGCGCGCATGTATACGCGTCTTAAGTTGCATTTATATCTTATTCCGAAGCGGAACATGGAGAATATATCTAAACATCTCCCTCTCCGCGAAATTCTCCCAACGTAACAAAGGAATAAACCTTATACAAAGTAAATCGAGTAAACTTAATAGTCAATGTGGAAACAAAACATAAGAATGTTTCGCGCACTCCGGAAACTTTCAATATGGCCGTGATAGATTGAACGTCACAGTATACATAGCAACGATAGAGACGGAAGAAGAGAGCCGGCACGTTAACACAATATTACCGACCCCTCACAGTTTGGCCACTATATTCATAATAACATTAACCCAAATTCGTTAACTGAAAATGGTCACCTAGCCGTAGTATCATGAGCTTGTAGGTGATTTGGCGCGTCGGCGAATGCGTATTTTAATTTGTATGCTTCGGCTACCAGCATGCCGATCTCCGAATCCGTCCAGTTTTGCGTGGGCAGGTTTTGTAGCATTAACATCAGCCCCTACAATCATTAAAGTTAGGTCAATTAAGCGTACAGCGATGATCGAGTTTTAAATATAAAATTACATACAATAGTAAAGTGAATTAAGAAATAAATTACTTGAAAATCAGGTTGCAGGAGTAAATGTCGTCTCCAAAGTAGAAGAAAGGCCGCGCACACATAGAGCTGAAACGATGCGAATCTATCAGACTCCGCCAGATAAGTATCCCATAATCGAATAGTACAATGAAGCGGAATTTCTCTGGTCAGTAAATTGTTCATCCACCGAAAGGAGAACTGTAGATAATCCACCCCGTGCTGATGTAAATGTTGATGCAACGGTGCTGAACGCAGTAACGGTCGCATTAAAGAAAAAAAAATGCGAATATTTAATATAGTATGTATATAATTGTGTTTTTATCAAAATATTCACCATCGATTCTCTGTATCAGTTCCTTCAACTGATTTACTTTGTGCTGGATTCCCAATTGAGCAAATATATAATTGTCCTGTATACCGTCCAAGAATTTTGACAAGCACCAGAAGCTGTCTGCCTCAATAATGTCGCGCTGTTCCTTCGACAGTGACGCTACGTCATAATTTTCTAGATCCTGCCAAGCCTGCACTGGTACCGCTTCTTGCAAAAAGACCAAGAAGAAGGGCGTCACGAGATCATTCATACCCTATAACAACGATCGAATCAGTTCTAGTTTTTTATAATATAATACAATAGGTGGTTTGATATTAAACACCTGAACATAACCAGATGCGGGGTGCCTAATTGCCCAAATGTACAATATCCTTTCAAATATCAGTTGCACTGTCGTCTGCTGGAATAGCGAGATGAGCGGTGACATTCTAGGGATATCGATGTGAATCTGACGATATGTATCTTGAAAGCCCTCGTCCCGTTCGACATCGTAATACTGTTTGACCAGATTCCAATAGTCTAGCCGTTTGCGCTCCAACACGTGTTGCCTACGTTCCATATTAGCTGGCAAGTATTCCTACAATGTTACGAACACGGTCGCTTATTGCTTCGCCGTAGCGCTCACCGTGCTCGATAGTGTACAGCTCGTTTACCTTCGCTACTTACAGACAACAACCTCCAAGTGACGGAACGTAATTTGGCAGGCACGCCCGACCACGACAAGTGCCTCAATTCGTCCAAATTCAGAACGGACGCATCCAAAAGTAATTGAAACTTGTCCACTTTACTTTCACCATCTAAACAGATTCATAAGCGATTTGTAAATCCTATGTCTTAAGGATTGCTGCTGAATATGCAACAAATGGATTCACACCTTGCTCCTTTGAAGGTATAAAAAATTTGTTGGGAGCATTTGTTTGCCTCAATGGTTGTGGTCTACCGGGGAATTGTGTTGGTTTGTGCCGAGGTGATACGCTATACTTCAAATCTATGTTCTCACTGGGATGCTGGCTATTATTCACTTGTAAATGCAGATTTGCATTGCGTAAATGTAAGGGCTGCACAGCTAATCTCTGAAGGGCCTCCGCTTTTTTCTCTTCAGGAATAATTTCCTGTTGAACTACTTTCGCATTTGCCTGTAGCAACTGTGAACACTTATTGCTAGATCTGTGATTGTTGATAACACTAAGAGCTGCTGACTGGCTAACTTTCTTCGATATCTTCACATCCGAAACTGTGCAAAATTCATCATCTCCCGAATCCCATGCGTCGTCCACGCTCTCCTGAAAATCTTGAAAAGAAGTGGAGCCTCCACTTCCGCCTGTACTACCACTACTATTAGCAATATTAATCAGATTGCTAGATCCAATCACCGTGGAATTAAACTTATGGTGTCTAATGTCCTGCTTCAAGCTTGGCCTTCAAATAAATTAATCAATGACTTAATAAGTATATATAATTTCAAGTACGCAGAAAATAAAATCTTAGAAAATATATACCTTCCTGGCACAGCGCGTGTATTCTTCTTCCAGAAAGACTGATGGGTTGAAAGGGTTTGATGATGGTAACCTTGATTTTCCATAGCGGAAATCAAGTTAACTAGCACCAGGTAATTTTTCAACACAGTTATTGCAGTGTAGGTTGCTCTTCATACCCTCAAATACAAACACTGAAAATCTGTAAAAACCAAAAATTTTTCTTTTTCTTTACAGTATTATATTGTAACCAACATTGTCATGGTACACATCACAAAGAGATGTATAATCAAGAAAAATAATAGAAAATTATGTTATAAATTGTAATAACTAGTATTCCAGCAGAAACTGGATTATTATTACGCTTGAATCTTATATTCGATAAAAAATATGAAATTTATAGAATTGTCAAATATTAGACTACACATTCTTATCAGATTGAACATATGACTGATATGATAGCACGCGTAATGTCACGAGCAATGCCTAAACAACAATAAAAGGCCGAGGAAGGAAGAATATAATGGAAAAAACTGCGGACTCTTCAAAATAACAAACGTATAATCGTAACATATGATTTTCCGGGAACTCGGCACACGACAATAATATCGTACAATTCCAACACGCGACAATGCTCTGACGTGCCATGGCTCTATTCCTATAATTAAATTACACACAAACGCACTTTGCGGGCGGACAGAAATACAGACGTCTACGCAGCGGAAATCTGTCGTTGACTGTTTTGCGGCCGAGAAGGTTATGTTGCGTAAGTTGCGTCAGCTCGACGGTGGCGAGAGAAACCGTGGTCGTTAGAAGATGAGAAAGAGAGGATGCCTACATCTTTCGTTAGACGAGTGATTAAACCTCCTCGATCTCCCGCGAGAATCAAAGCGGAGTCCAGTTTACGGCCCAATCGGAGTTTCTCTCGATGTGTCAATCGGTATCTCGTACGCCGCGACGATGACGTCGTCGTCGAAGCGTGATCTTTTTTTTTCTCTCTCTCTTCGTCGTCACGATAGATCGCGATCTTGACGCGCGATTACCGCGTCTCTCTCGCGCGCCTCTTTAGAGGACGCACCGAAAACGCCCTTCGGAGCCACGATCGGTGACTTTCCCCTCGTCGCGTCGAACTGTCGAGCAAGCAATTTTGACGTATGACCATCTGACGTCTGACGCGAGCGCTGCTACCGCGATTCGCTATCTCGGTTCTCTCATATAATCGCGATACATTATACATCTCTTGTTAGACTTTTTTACGCGTAAAATTAAATAGACATATATATATACTTTAGAGAGTTGGAGAAGGAGAAGAAGAAAAAATAGGAGCTAATTGTGAGAAAATACGAAGGATGAAGTTATAAGGAACGTGTGTCAGTCTGTTTACACTCTTTGTCTCTTTTGTCTCTTTCTCACGCATTGTATGCTATAATAATATTACGAGTAAATATAGAAATGATCTCAGTTTGATGAAAATCAAACGTAAGATTCGAGATTGCAACGAGTTTTAAATTGCTGATTAAGAGATATATTTGTATGATATATATGGGTTTTATATATTCATATTACAATATTGCTTTTCCTCATGTGAATCATATCTTTAAGCGAAATTTAGTTTAATACAGATAGCACGTGTACATTTCGTGTCAAGTAATAATAATATAATTATTACACACACATACACACACATATATATATATCAAGTTGTATATCGTGAGAATTCCATTCTTGTTCAAGGCCACAGTCAACTCTGAGATTTCTGCGAATAACGATTCGAAAGAGAAGCTCCTACTATAATATGTGATTACATAAAATAACTATAATAAAAAAAACTATTTATCTTAATTCTTAATTTTCTTTCTCGAGAATTTCATGAAAATTCGTGACAGTTTATATATTGCATGATTTAACAAACATTTAAAATGCAAAAACAACCAGGATATTAAAGGAGCAAAACAATATAATTATAACACTGGCATATTCAAAATTGCGTTGTCCAAACTGCAATTATTTATTAATGTTTTGTAAATGTACTGTACCTTTTTAAACAGATTTATGTATTTAAATTTAATTATATACAGTATACGAAACAGATTATACACCGTGTTACGTAATTCAATCTCGTCCAGTCAAAATCATATGTTCTCTCCGTTTGAAGTCCGATTATAAGTTTAAGTGAATTTTCTAAACATCAATTATATATATAAAAAGCTTTTTTTATATATTATTTTTAGCAAAAACTTAATGCTCATTTGTGTAACATTTTATAGTTTTATTTATCAAATCGATAGACTTAATTTCATAAGCGCAGGGACTTTAATCGAAATTCTGTTTTATTTTTTTTTTTTTACAACAGAAAGAATTATAATAAATATAATCCGTATGTCTTAAATGTCTTTCTGTTTAGAATTATAAATCATTGTATAACATGCAAATTTATCGTTGCATAAAAGAATCAGTCGAGATACCTGTCTTCGGCATCAATCTTTCTTTTTACTTAATACATACATACAGAAAAATATTATTCTATTGCTAAATAAAATGATTACTCAGTTTACTTTACTTCTTTTAAGTAACAGTTATCTTTAACAAAGAATATTTTCTTAATAATGGTCATAAAATAGACTTGTCACAAATTTTAGAAATACTCATTATCCATGTACTCAAAAAAAGTAAATATTTTCTTTCGAAGAATATTATAAAATTTTATCGAAGAAAAGTCAGATATGGTTAATTTAATGTAAGAAAATTTATTAGATCAGAAGATAAGATATTTTTATCAAAGAAGCGAAAAATATGGGTTATCTTTTTATATTATGTATCTCGTAACGAAGAATTCGAATTAATTGCAGAGATGTTCTGTAGATTCGAAAAAAATTATATTGTTGACAACAAAAGTATCTTAAAGGTTAATCACAAACGAAAAACTAGTTTTTAGTTCCATATTCGATAAATATCAGCTTTTACATATATTTAAAAACTGATTTTGGGCGAGAAAAGAAATTTAAAAAAAACATTATTTATTCTTGGAGCTATTTTTAATATTAGCAATGAATTAGTTTAAAATAAATATGTCATTCCCAGGTAGCAAAAGTAGCCATTTTGACGTTATTTTGACGTCAAATTAGGTCAAAATGATGTCAAAAAGACTATTTTTGCTACCTGGATTGTTAACATATGTTTATATAATTCTACCTAAATGCGTTTGACTAATCATAGAATATCAGAGATAAAGTCCCATCTTGATATCCTCGTCAATGACAGATTACTTCCCGACTGATTTTCCGTTATTATCTTAGTTTTTTATACTTGAAATAATTATATATACCTATATGCATAAATCAATACAATCTGATGTTGTGAAAGCAACTTGCGAGATAATTTATTGAAAAAAAACATTTGTCATTCATAAATATTCATAATGGAACATTATATAAACGGCAGAAATATATATATCCGCATCTTAATAAAAAAAATGTGAATATACATGAAAGATACATAAAGTTAAACATTTTGATTATTTACATTATTATACTTTATATATGCCTCACATATTTAATATATTTTGACAAAAATCGAACATTTTATTTTTATTCTTTGATTAGTTTGACTCCTTTTTCCTCAAATTTTCATCGCTGAAAATTACATTTTCGCGAAAAAATATATTACATGATGAAATATTTTCCGACAAAAAAAAATATATTCGAATTAATTGCAGAGATGTTCTGTAGATTCGAAAAAAATTATATTGTTGACAACAAAAGTATCTTAAAGGTTAATCACAAACGAAAAACTAGTTTTTAGTTCCATATTCGATAAATATCAGCTTTTACATATATTTAAAAACTGATTTTGGGCGAGAAAAGAAATTAAAAAAAAACATTATTATTTTTCTTCTAATATAATCTGATCTAATCTAACGATGCTATGAAATCTCCATAATATTTTTCCAGCAAAAAACACAAACACAATATCATATGATTAGCTGTCAAATAAAAAATTTTAGGGTCTTTAAAAATTCTTTATTTAATAGCCAATTGCGTGAGCTTGTGTTTATCTGTTTTCTTGTTGGAAAGCTCCCATTATTACGCGATCCTGATGCTCGCACAGGATCTTTTGTTATTCACGAAAATGCGAATCACGTGAGAGCCGCCGACGTGAGCTGTGCTCTCTCTCTGTCTCGCGATCGGTCGTCGCGCTCGTCGCCGCTCGGCATTTTTCGGCGCTACTCGGTAATCGCCCGGCTTCACGCCGGTAGATTATAAGGGTGAGGTGAGCATGGAATCGCGTTCGCCGTTTACGTCAGTTCACGCCGAGCTTTCTCGCGCGTGGGTCGCGACTGTAAAATCGTTGAATCTGTCGCGCGTTTTCGCGGTGTCTGCGCGACAGCCTTGTGTTCGATCGAAAACGCATTGCGTGTGCATAGCAATCCTCTGATGACATTCACCACGCAGGATCGCAGAACGAAAGGATTTACTACTGATATACATTTTGCCTAGCGTGTTCTACAGCGACGATCGATCGTAGACGCGTCCACCTGTATCTAACGACTGACTCTCCCAGTATTTTAACGAGGCACGCATTGCGCTCTATTTACAAATGAATTATTGATGAAGATTGATCTGCAGTCATTACGCGCGTTTCTATACGCGTTTATTTCGTCGAGAAATAAAATCGCGTTATACGATCGTCGAATATGCAAAAAGATCTAAGAATATGTGAGAGTGTTATCATCCTTAGCTATGCATCGTTTAATATGTGTTATCTCGTGATATTTTGTAATATTTTGATGTAGATTAATTAACGTAACGTCGCCGAATTTACTTTTTAACGATTTAATATTCGTTGCCCGAAAATAATATTGCGCGAAATAATATATTTTCTCTGCTACGTGTATATTATTTTATTTGAACTGTACATGGAAATACGTTTCATTTTCATTAACTATTTAAGATATTTTCTTTTATCATGGAATATATACATAACAAATTGCAATATGACTTGACACTTTTTTTCTAACAATAAGGCTAATTGCAGTAATTAGCACTAAAATACTTTGCACGAGAGACAGAAGTAAGAAAAAGGAATTGTCAAAAATTTCTTACGAAAAATACTATTATGAAAAATCAACTTTCTAATCTTCTGAGAGATAAGATTAAAATTTTTCAAGACTTTATTTTTTTGCTATATTCTTTATAAGAGAATCTGTATGATCAATCAAATTGTTGTCATTTCTTATGATGCACAAAACTGAAAAAAATTTATTTTTGAATCTTTTGTATTAAATTATGAATATATATATATTATATATATTATATTTTAATTTTAATAATTATTTGAACACAGAAATGTAATTATTGCTAATACATAAGTAAATTTAGGAATTCAATTTTTCGCAAAATATACATTATTAATCGTGCGATTTATTTTTCATTCTGTATAATACGCTTTAGAAAGATGCACATTTGTAATCTTATCACACCAAAGCTTGAGGAACTAACTCCTTTGAATCGTATCGTAAAGTGTACTTTAGAAATCGTAGATAAAAGACAGTTGGTGAATATTTCGCGAATACATTTGTAAATTTGCCGGTCGCTTTACAAACGACATGCGCATCGCGCAGAATCACACGGGAATTTCGCGAGCGCGCACGCGCGCTTTCTCCATCCCCCTCCTGGCGCGGATTTAGGAAATGTAGGTCTCTTCTAGCCTTTTATACTTTCTTCCTGGCAGTCTACTTTCCTTGGCACTGAAATCACTGCTCGTGCTTTTCAATCCGTGTCCGTCGCAGTTTCTCTCTCTCTCTGTCTCTCTCGCAGAGAATCGGCTTTTCACGAAAAAGAAATCTCCCGATTTGAATTTAAAACTCATGATATTATCGCGTGCGACATATCCGTGATTGTGTGTGTATTTGCTTGGAAGACTTCTTACTTGTAAACAAACAAGCGAAATCGGGTTTGTTTCGTAAACTGGTATGCGTACACTTTTATGCGGAAAAGCTTTTCGATTTTTAAAAAATCACATATTTTTTTCGAATAAAGAGAAAATATAAAATAATTTATTATACAGAACATTTTTATCTATAAAAAGTTTATTTTATTGTTTTCGAAAAATGATGATTTTGATGCGTAGAAGATTTTATATAAGAAAAATTCAAAAGACAACTTCCCCTTTCGTTCCCTTGTTACATTTATTCGTGTTTTGCTACGAGTTTCTTGCTCCCGGCATTTAAACGGCTTCGCAACCCATCCACAGCAAAGTGGAGTTAATAAATAAAATTGAAGAGAGAATAGCAGGAAATGAGAAAGTTAAAATATTTATTCCATTATATCCCATGATCATGCTGGAATAAAAATAAAAAAGTTTGATTTTTTAAATTCTTTTAAAGGCTTGTTACTACAAGTATAACAATTTTTGTAACAACAAATACAAACCAAATAGATACAATACGAGATTTATTTTAAATGATCTCGGACAAATAATATTTTAGATTAAAATTATTTTAAAATATTTTATGTTACATTAAAAATAAAAAAAATATTTTAAAAGTCAAGTATATGACATTGTAAGGACAGAAGGTTGTTTTGAATCACCTTGTATATATAAAATATAAAAGATACCAGAGAAAGATGTGTAATAGTGTTTATTTAAAGAATGCTTGCTTAAGTTTGCACGATTGCGATTGTGATGTAAGAATTTGATATATCCGATATTTTCTTTATGATCTATCACAATCGTTATTTTTATTAATTATTATTTTTACTCACCAGATTACTTATCAGATATAATTTTTTTGCATTAGTCACTCTACGCCAAAATAATCCGTTTACGTCAAAGTAATATAAAATATTACACTAAGTGCTGCGTTTGCAGAAAAGTTCTTCCGCATACGAAAGAAATTTGCTTATAGCTACAAACGATTATATTATCAATAGGATCGCGAAGTCTAAGCTTGAGTCGAGTCGATTGTAAATTATTTTTCTGCAGCTCAATAACTTTTAATATATAATTTAATGCGTAGAGATTATATAAATAAGAAGATATATATTAAAATATAAGCTACTTTTATAAAATTATTTATATTGTTTTTGCAGAACCAGTTGCCTAACACAAAGCAAAAATGTCAGACATTGAAGGTGATGATGAGGTAGGTTGACAAAATATACAATAATATGTATATTTTTATATTTGCTCTTTACGTAATTGTTTGTATTCTTATATATATGTATCTTATGTTTTTTTCAGTTTCAAGATGCTCAGGAATCATTACCACAGTGCGTATATATACACATTTGCATTTTATTATGCTACGTAAATGCATCTTTTGTACTTTAGAGACTTTTTGTACTTTAGACATAAATAGCTTTTCTTGCTTCAGACTCACTTCTATGGATTTGAATACAGCGATAATGGAGGCAAAAAGAGCGATTCATTGTTTTTTCAACAATGACTTCGATCAGGCGAGGAAAATTTTAGAGCCATGGGCGGACACCAGCATGTATCACTCTCTGGGGACTAGCGTGTTCGCATTTTTAGAAGCAATTCTTACGTTTGAACAAGTACTGATTATATTTATTACGTTCCTTCCGTTACGCTTTGAGCACTTTTTTTATTTATCCAACTTAGAGAATCGCGGGAAATTCTTTCTTTAACAATATATCGTGTGCAATACGTAGAAACATATCGAGAAGGCGTCGGAGATATTGAAGCAATGCATGAGCGTATGTTCCAAACACCGAAAACACACCACTATCACGCAGAATATCGGAAAAATAGTGAAGAGGGTCAACTACGATGCTTACACGAACGGTAACGTGTGTTGTATTTGTGCATATATAATGCAGCATGCGTCAAGACCCTTGATCCCTTATAATGATTAATGAATATCAAGAATATAATATATCATTAACTTTATTGATACAACTCTTCCAATAACAAGTAATTTGAATAATAAACTTCTTTAAGACAAGAACTTTAATGACAAGAACATAAATACATTTATCAGCTGATATATATATAACATGCGACTGTTAGTCTTTTAATCGTGAGCAAGTGTAATAAAATTAAAATATTAATATAATTTTTGCTATTAGTTTTTTACGAGTTTTTTTTGTTACCAATAGTGTTATTAAAAATGATCGCGTATTATAAAATTCGAAATTTTTAATTATAACTAGAGAAATTAATTAAGAATTAATATTAATATTAACTTCAGAAGACGCAGTCCCGTAAATTAACTCGGATGTAGTCATATCATACGGCTTTCGTGTATCTAAAACACAGTAGTGCATGAAAGGAATAACTGAGAATTAATTTTACAGAGGAAGTGCATGCGGAACTCTGTTATGCCGAGTCGCTCCTTTTAAAATCGATGCTCACGTTTGTAGAAGATGAGACTCTGGTCAGCTTTGTCAAGGCGGGATTGAAAATTCGTACATGTTTTCTGTCATACAAGTAAATAAGTTACATTACACCTGACATTCAATCTCTTCAGAATTTTTCATGATTATCTTTTTGTGTGCAGGGAATGCATGACGATCTTGAACAATCGCAAATGGGGAGACGATACTCACAAAGTGCATTTCGAAAGTGGCGTTCGTATGGGTATTGGTACATTCAACCTGGTACATATGTGTATAGTTTTACCTTTGCCATAAATATATGTATATATTATCGTAAATATACATTTTTAAAATTCTGTCTCATTCCAGATGATATCGTTGCTACCGGCGCGAGTTATTAAGTTATTAGAATTTATCGGATTCTCCGGCGATAAGGTAATTAAAAACATTCATAAATGATATGTGGTGCAATTTTATTTATTAACTCAATTATCATTTACAGACGTATGGTCTAGCGGAATTAAAAGCGGGTTATAATGAGAGGAGAGGTCTGCGACAAATCTTATGCGTTATGACTTTGTTGTCTTACAATCTAATCGTTACTTTCGTACTGAGTCACTCGGACGGCGATCTAGAATGGTGCGAGCAAGTGTTGCAGCAGGAACTGAGCCTTTATCCGAATGGTGTATGGTTCCTGTTCTTCAAGGGAAGATTAGAGCTCACGCGGGGCAACTTCGAAGAGTGCATAGACTGGTATATCAAATCGTGGAAAAGTCAAAATGTATGGTCGCAGTTTCATCATCTCTGTTATTGGGAATTGATGTGGGCGCACTGCTCTATGCAACAATGGAATAAGGCGATTATGTATGCCACGATGCTGGCGAACGAGTCTAATTGGTCGCGCACTATCTACCTGTACCAAAAGGCTGCGATTTTGCTCATGCAGAAACCGCCGACCGGAAGCGAGGAGAAACAACTGATCGACAGCTTGATGATACAGGTACCAACTTACAAGCAGCGCATTGCCGGCAAGTCGCTGCCAATGGAGAAGTTTGTGATCAAGAGGACGGAGCGTTATTTCGCGCAAAAGAAAAATCTAATCTTGCCCATATTTGAGCTTATGTATGTATGGAATCTGTTCAGGATAATAGGCAAGCGGCAAGATTTGATATTGAATATATTCAAAACGATAGAGGAGACGGAGAGAGAACTCAAAACAGCCTCGTGAGTTTTTTTTCACAATTCGAATTATAATATATGAACATAATAAGCAACTTGAAAAGAAAATGGAAAAAAATGTTAGATATAAAAATAGCGATTATTTTAAATGAATTTGATCATCTTAAATAAAAATGTAAAAACTATGAGGAGGTTTGTTAATTACATCTCTTTTTTAATATATGTAACATCTTGTGTACACAGGAAAAATGAATACTATGCGGACAACAAAGCGCTTTTGTTGCTGTTGAAAGGCGCTTGTCTGCGACAAATGCAGCATCCTTTGCAGTCGGAGGAGTGTCTGCGACGCGTTTTACAATTGGAGAAATCAGTCAAGGAGGACACGTACTTATTTCCCTATGCTACCGTAGAATTAGCTTTATTGGCTCAAAATCAGGGCGATACTCAGTTGGCTATAGGTTTTTTAGAAGATGCTAAGTAAGTCTAGATCTCCTATTATATGTTATTGTATGATATGATTTTGTATAATTAATTTGTCGGTTTTTACGAGAAACCAATTGAATTAAAATTGTATTTAAATTCTAGGAAAAATTACACGGGCTACTTATTAGAGTCTAGATTACACTTCAGAATACATTCGGATCTAATGATGTTGACTGGCAAGAAGACTAACAATTACACGATGAAGAAGCACGAGAACCATCAACGATTGCAAACGGACATTACTGCCAATAATAGCGTCATTATCGCGGGTCCAAGTGCCGATGATTCTATCGAGATTAAATTATAGAAGCGTTGTATAAAAATGAGAAAAAGAGCACATACACAATCGAAACTCTATTTATTTTTAAATAAATAAAATAACATTCTTTTATAGGCGACGTACGTATTTCATATATTGTATGACTTTTTCGTGAAGACGGACCAGTGATAGTTTTGCAATTTTCCTCTGATATCGAAAGGCCTCCGTGTAACTATCATCTGGTTTCACTATCTATAGAGTCTAAAGGTTTTACCAGATTCATTCGGAAGTTGAGTATATTTTGTAGCATGCCCGATATTAATGTGTAAATTATTTTCTTCCATAAGAAAAACGATGAAATAGTGGAAAAGTAATATTTTGTAGCGATTATAATATTGATACATAAATTATATATTTTCTGCGAGAACAATATAAGAAGAATAAGGATAAAGAGTATATGTAACATTCTCATCGTGGAATTTTGCGTGAGGATATATTTTGTAGCGTGATTAATATATTATAGAGGTATATTATATAAATTATTTTCTTTAGAAGATTTTGGTAAGACTATATAGAGTGTGATCTGTGATCGTTCTATTGCGTAATTGTGGTGAAAGCTTATTATAAATAAAATGTTACGAAAAAATGTGTATATATGCAAACTAAAAATTATGTAAACAACGTAATAAAAAAAATGAATGAAAAATGATATTATTTCTATATATTATACAACAACACACACACACACACACACACACACATATATATATATATATATTAGTTTATTCATGCAAATCTTGACAAATATATTTAGAATGCACATCAAGAATTTTTAATTATTTAATTTTGATGATTCAGAAAATTTATTAATTATAATTAATTATAATTTGTAACGGTTCACTTTCCCGTACGCCGCGGATCAAGACTCGCCGGTGCCAGGATTCGGGAGAAGGGGGAAACTCCAACTTACTTTACCTCGGTATAAGCGGTTTAAACAATTCCCAGCAAACCACAGCATATAACATAGACGTATATGTAATATAAATCTTGTGAAAGATATCTTACAAAAAGATAACTTATTGATATAATTTCTAAGAAAATTTAATTAAGTCTTTAAAAAATCCTCTTAAAGAGCTCATCCTCTCAATAATGCTCACTGAGAATATTAGTTACAAGAGGACTTTATTTGGACGATCATAGGACGTTTTCAAAATTACGTCTTTGGCTAGTCTAAGAAATGAGGTCTTTTAAGCGTCAATTATTAGTCGCCGACATTATAGACCAAAAATAGACGTCATTATGTCGTCTTTTGACGTTACTCTGTTACTCAGTTACATTACATATTACTCCCATGTTACATAGCAGTTATATTCTGGTGTTATATTGCTTAAATAAGAGATAGTTATATAATCCCAATATAAATTTAGGTATAACAACCGTTACATTACATGTTATTCCCACGTTATATAGCAGTTATATTCTGTGTTTGCTGGGTAAGTACAATGCAACATGCGGGAGCGGTGCGTACAGAGTTTCGCGCGTGGCTGGTGCGCGGGAGCTCGGGAAGCGAGCGTGGCTTATGCGGACGTGTTCTGCGTTCGCGAGGTTCGCATGCAAGCAACTATGGTTATTCTAAGCGGAACAGAACAGATCTTAAATGCTACGGGGGTCGCGTGGCCTTCGTTCGTAGTTCCAACGGCCTGACTACCTTATCCTTAGAAGGACGGGGCGTCGGCACTTTCTGCGGCCTACCCTTAGAAGGGCTGGCGCGCTTGTGTAGTCTGAAGGCCGTGCGTACAGGTGGAGTCGACTCTACTGACGGAAATCGTAATAAGGCTCTACAATTATAATGCGCGGTATATACAGTGCGGGCTTAGGTAACGCTACGCTCGCCGGAGCGCCTTATATACCGGCGGCCGGCCTTCCACTTACGCGAGTCGGCGCGTGGTGGGGCGGACCCACGGTGGGGCCGAGACACGGGTGTGGAAGTTTAGGGGCGCCATAGGCGCCGAGCCTCAAAACAGCGCGCGGTGGATCGGCCCGCTAGGCCGTTAGTAACGGTATCGTTACAAATTAATTAACTAATTATAATAATAATTTTGATGTTCCAGAAAAAATAAATTTTCTACAAGACCCATATTGGTCTCAAATTTCAATTATTTTTATCTAATAATATCATTAAAACGTTATGCGTTAGAAAATACGGAATAGGTTTACTGAACTTTATCTTTATTAATAATATATATACAGGGTGGTCCATTTTAAAAGAGCCAGTCAAATATCTCGAAAAATATGGAAGATACGGAAAAACGTTCCAGACAAAAGTTGTTTGGATCGAAGGGGGACATAAGATGGTGCCATTGATGTGACCTTGGATAGTTATTTGAAGGTCACATGAAGGTCACTTTCAATTTCTTAAATGGAAACCCACATTTTTCATTGCATATTCTTATAACTAATGTCGAGAGCTTTCCAAAACACTATAATAAAGTATTTTTTCATTAAGTACTTTTTGAGTTATTTTATATTTTAATCTGACATATTTTGATATAAAAAATAAAATATCTCGTAAAATATTTAGTTCTCGATAATCTTACCGTAATACTT